CAGGTACCACCAGCTTTCTTCACCAAATTTACTTATGCATCCATCTTGCCTTCACCTTTCTTGTCAGGAAGGTGAGTATCACAGTGCCAGGTTATTAAAACAAAGTATTCTTGTATGGAGGGACAACTTGGGTAGAGCCCCAAAGTGGCTGGACCTTTTTAAAATCACTCTAATGAGACTAAGACAACCATATTACTGAGAGAACTTGCCTGTGGTCATCCGCTGATAGTAGAGACACATTTGCACGTGTTATTTGTTTACTTGTGTGATGTGAAACCCTAGTAGCAATCCTTTCTTCACTTAACCTTGTAGATGGGAATCCAGTTTCACACAAACCAAGAAACTGAGACTGAGGGGGATCAGGTGACTTGCCTGAGGCTGCATACTATGAAGTGGCAGAGCAGAGGGATTAGAAGCAGGACAGTCTCATTCTTTGCATCAGACATGTTGATCAGACCCAGTGGGAAGACCTTTCATTACCTGGTTGTTGACAACGATGTGCACAGTACCGTTGGTGGTATAAGAGGGCAGGTCGCTCAGGTGGAAGGTCTCGTAGACCACTCCCTGACCAGCAAAGGCAGCATCCCCATGTACTAGAATGGACATGATCTGCAAGGACATGAGCCAGAAGGAGTTGCCTTGCCCTCCTCCACTGCTGAGACCTAGAACCGAACCCCCAAGTTCCCAGCACCTCCTTGAGCCCAGCCACCAGAGACCAACCCTTGGAGACAGCCCCCAGAAGCCATCCCTTGGTGCCCAGACCGAGTTCACCTTCTTGCCCTCTGAGTCCCCACGGTAGAACTGCTCAGCCTTTGTCTTTCCTTGCACCACAGGGTTTACAGCCTCTAGGTGGGAGGGATTGGCCACAAGTGACAAAGTGATATTCCTATTTGTGGCCCGATTGATTCTCTCGTGGTACATGCCCAGGTGATATTTGACATCCCCAGAGCCCTGGAGGTTGAAAACAAAGAACTGGATAGACAGATATTCAAGTCAACAGTTTCCTATGGTGCCCCAAAAGACCTGGGTCCTGCTCAAGGAAGGTTGCACCATCCCTGATCCCCACCGTCTTCTCGCTATCCTTCCCCTCACCACCCCTCCAGGCTAGACTGAGGGAAGCTGGTTCCTTCGGGATCCATAATGCACCACCCACTTCTTCAAGCTCTGAAATCAAGTATTATCATCTCAGCATTATCAACCACAATAGACCTAAGGTGTCTAGAAGTAGTGAGAGTGGTGAAAAAAAATAGTGTGTCCCAGATTACAGTAGATGTGAAAGTAAGGGAAGAGACTCCTAAACAATACTGAGACACCTGGCTGGGTCTCTGGGAAAAAATGGAGCAAAATCCCTACTGCATTTCTTAGCCCAAGTAAATTCTGGACAGATCAAAATAAAACATGACAAACATCTTTTATAATCTTAGAATAGGGAAATGCTTCTTAAACTATATATGTAATCAATAGCCATAAAATACTCTGTTAAATGTGTTGCTTGTTATCGAGTTGGTTCTGCCTTACGGTGACCCCGTGCAGCAGTGTTCCACAGCATGTTTAAAGTTGTGGTCTTTCGAAAGCAGATCACTACTCTTAACCACCAATATTTTGGCTAGTAGCTGAGTGCTTAACTGTTTGAGCCACCCAGGGAAGACAACTAAAACCTAACAAATCTGTCATGGAAGAAGTAAATTCATGCAATTTTAGTGGGGAAAGTCAAACTGAGAAAAGTAGTTATAAAAATAAGTACAGGAGTGATGAAAATCAAAAGATACATGGAAACAATTAGTTAAATGAACTAATGGACCATGCAAATATCAGTTTCCAAACCCTATGACCAGAAGAACTATATGGTACCTGCTACCACTACCAACTGCTCTGAAAAGGATCACATTAGAAAGTCCCAAATACAGTGGAAGGAAAATGTGGAATAAAATTCAAAATCATAAAAGAGACCAGGTTTATTGAGATGGGTAGAACCCCAGGACTATGACCCTTAGTCACTCTTTAGGTCTGGAACTGAATTCACCCCCATGTTAGAGTGCTGAACAATTTGAGATCAAAGGGACAACATTTACCCAAGGGCAAAGCTCAGAGGGTTCGGACACAAAGAGGAAACACTGGGAGGTAGTGGGTTAAAGATAATACATTAAAGGGACTGGAGTGAATTAAATGTATAACTGATGATCTATCTGGTCTGTAAACCTTCGCCTAAATTAACAAGAAAAGGTTTAAATAAATAAATGCAGGCACGGGACTAATTTCCTCAACATAGTATGTATTTTATAAGTCAATAAGATAAATGAGCAAAAGCCAAAAGGAGAACCTAAATTTTTAAAAAATAGCTTTAAAACATATGAAAAGATACTCAGATGAATTGATGACAAAGCGGTTTACATTAAGATACTGGCAAAAAGGAAAAGATTTAACGGAAGCAATGAGACTGTGGGACAATAAGTGCCTTCACACATCTTCAATGGGCTCACTGAAGACCAAACGTTAATTTCATGACACATCGAGATTCAGCAACTGCATTTCTCAATCAGCCCCTTACAGATAAGTTCATTTACACCTGCACACAAGGATGTTTGCTATCACAGCCCTAATGTTCAAGGTAATTCAGTGACACAGTCAGTAGCTGTAAGAACTCACACAGCTCTACATTGGAACACAGGCAGCTCCAGGTGGGGTGGTCTGAATGACAAACTGTCAAGAGAAAGCAGCGAGGGGCCAGTCAGCGGCTCAGCACGGCCCATGGTGTTTTACAAAGCAGGCTACCCAGAGCATGCGTGATGTATCTGCATGGAACATTTCTGGAAGCACATACCTAAACATAAACAAAACCCATACGCAGGAACTGGCTGCCATGGAAGCTGTAGGAGCAGGAACAGGGGCTCACCAGGGAAACAGACTCTTGCTGTATTATCTTTTTTTTAAACAATAATTCTATTCCTTTTTAATATAAATTATTTTAAGCTTATCCTTTGACTATACACATACATATCATCATCTTGATTCTGAATGATTACTGTTATATACTCATGTATAAGCCAAGTTTTTTAGCACATCTTTAATGCAGTGTTTGTGGTAAAATTAGGTGCCTCAGTTGATATTCGGTTCGGCTTATACTCAAGTATATACGGTAACTATTCTGTGGGCAGGTGCTTTTATTCCCATTTTATAGAAAAGCAAATTGTGGCTCAGAATGGTAACGTTGCTTGGGCAAATTATGGATTCTGGG